GTTCTTCCCACGCTGTTCTGGCGAGCTAAGAAAATGTTTATCTCCCTGAGCCTGGCCTTCACAATTCCACTCCATCACACAATGGCCCCTTTCAACAATGTGATGTTAGGATTCTATAAATGAAGTCAACTTTGATTTTTGCCATGGCCCAACCCAAGTTTTGGAGTATATGCACTCAAAGGCCAGAACAAGTTATGCAACCTTGAATTTGGAGAAGGCAGAGCTAGATAGACCAATGATTAGAGTAAAGCAACTTCCTTCCTCCTTCAATTTTTATTATTTTTTTTATTTTTTATTTTTTTGCTGCAGCTGCTGCAAGGGAGGAGTTAGCAGCAGCCTGACTGGAAATAGAGAAGCCAAAGTTGTTGGATGAGCATCTGCTCCGTCCCAGCTCCCAAACAACTGAACCGGAGTCACCCTTATTAACAAAGTCACATACAATAGCGCCTCTACTGAACACCAGAGGCAGTTTTACAGTCATTTAAACTCTAAGCAGAGTCCCAATTGATCAAACTTCCTTTTGGCCACAAGAAGTTGCTGGCTGGAAAACAGGGCAGAGGGGGGAATGGGAGGATCACACTCAGTTTGTTTGGACAAAGGGGAAAAGAGAGAGAGAAATATCTTGGTGCATTCCCAAGTAAGCATGCTTTCTCCATGAAGTCAGGATAGCGTATTCTCTCTCCATAATCAGGAATGAGTCTGTCTGAACAATCAGGCTTTTGCCCTCACTGTAGACTTTGATCATTAAAGAGTTGTGTCACTGGTTCATTCTATTATGATCTTCCATTATTGGATTATCTGTTCTTGGCTGCCTGGTTGAATGCAGTTATACAATCCAGGGAGGAGGCTGCAAATAGCATAGTCCAGAAGGTGAAAGCAAAGTAACTGAGATGTCCAAAAAAAAAGGGGGGAGAACTTCAGAAAAGGCCTTACAAAGGTTCACGCTCTTCTGTCTATCCAAGATATGTCTCCCCAGGAGAAGGCCACATCTGAAGATGAGTATGACCTTCCTGATACAGCATAGACACATCTCTGAACAGAGGCTTGGAAGACATAGTTCCAGCCTCGGTATTCCACAAGGCTGTTTCAGTCCCAGGGGTGGAAGCCTAAAGACGTAGCATCAGATTTAAGGAACAGCTCCTTATGAGCAAAGATTTATCACAGATGTATATCCTGACCTTCACAGAGAATTAATGGGACAGATTGCAAAATGAAGATTAAAAACAGAAAGATCAAGATGATACTGTAAAGCTAAAGGCAGGCAGGCAAGCAGAAGGTCCTGGTGAGCCACCCAGGTTTATTATATAGAAGGTGGGTGCTATATAAGTCTTTTTAAATAAATAAATATTATGCATGTTGGAAGCTTGATGTAACTTCTGCAGAATAATGCTGGTTGTCAACCCAGCTGCCAGATTCCCAGCAAAGACAAGTGGATAATGGACGGAAAGGAAATAAAAGAAGCCTTTCCATGCACAGAGGTCACCTGTTTCAGTTCTTACATTTTATGTAGAGATGTCTCTTTCTCTACCCTTTTGCCATTAGATGGAATAAGATAGGAACCGAGGGCAGGTGGATTTGCACATCCAAAAGCATGGAAGCTGTATCTCTCTCAAACATACTTTTGGATGTCCATCATCCTTTAGTATTATTTGTTTGAAAAATTCATAGCACACACTGCTACCTAAAAGCTGCCCAAAACACCTTACAGTGCTGAAATAACAACAGATGGCCCCTATGTC